AAGAGAGCGTCGCAGGGGCATCTGCAACTTCAGCGCTCCCCTTCGTGTCTCTCTCCTCCGCTGTCTCCCCGCTATCAGCAGGCCGAGCTGCAGCACCAGTAGAAGCATCATTTGCTGCTGCTGGTGCTGCTGCTGCTCCTGCTGCTGCTGGTGCTGCTGCTGCTGAACGCCCTCCAGCTGAAGTCTCTGCTGCAAGCTTTGCTGCATGCACTTCTATTTGCGTCTGAGTGGGTACGACGCCCTCAGAAGACACTCGCTGCCGATACCACAGCGCCAATGCATGCGCAATCTCCGCCCCAAACGTCTGCAGCAGCAGCAGCAGCAGCAGCAGCAGCAGCAGCAAAAGCAGCAAAAGCAATAAATGGAGAAGCAAAGTAGCGGCGAAGAGCAATGATCAACTCGCAGCAAAACAAAAAATAAACAAAAAATAAATAAATAATGATGAACAAATAAGTAAATGTATAAATGTATAAATAAATTTATATAAATAAATAAATAAATAAATAAAAGAGTCATGAAGAAAGAAAATAAACAAACAAAAATACCTGAGCTGAGAAGGTCTTGCAGTGTACGGCGCCCCCACAGCGGTATTTAACTCGCCACTCCTGCGGTGTACGTACACCCGAAAACAAACAAATACAACAATCGCACAGTCAGCAGCAGCAGCAAATCAGCAGCAGCAGCATAGCAGCAGCAGCAACAAATCAGCAGGCTGCACACCCATGGGGGTAGCAGCAGCCCCCAAACGTCAGGTATTAACACCAGCAGCAAACAAAGACAGCAACAACAGCAGCAACTGCAACAGCAGCAAATCAGCAGCAGCAAATCAGCAGCAGCAGCAGCAACAGAGGCCTTACTTGTGTCTGGGGCCGGTAATGTAGAGACTTCGGGAGGAGAGTCGGCTTCTTCAGAGAGAAAATTGTCTTAGATCCCCGGCAACTATCAAATTGCTGCTGCTGCTGCTGCTGCTGCTGCTGCTCATCCTGGTGCCGCTTCTCAACCTGGGCTTCACCCTCCTCATGTTCAGTGGCTTGCTCGTGCTGCTGCTGCTGCTGCTGCTCCTGCTGCTGCTGCTGCAGCAGCAGGTGGTCTGTGTGCGGGTTTTGCTGTACATGCCCTTCTTTTGCTTCGAGGGGAGCAGCAGCAACAACTGCCAGCGTCGGCCCCTTCATCTTGCGGCTGCGCCTCGAGAGAGATATGAATTGTTAATGGGCCATCGATTGCTGCTGCTGCTGCTGCTGCTGCAGCAGCAGTGCTGCAGCAGACGCTGCAGTTGCTGCTCCTGCGATCGGGCGTGATAATCTTTCCGCTCCTGTCCTTGCTGCTACTGGTACTGCTGCTGTTGCTGCTGTTGCTGCTGCTGCTGCTGCTGCCCTTGCTCCTGTGACAACCACTACTATTACTACTGCTATTACTATGACTGCTACTTCTGCTGCTTCTGCTGCTTCCGCCTTTATTGCTGCTGCTGCTGCTTGAAGTCTTGTGCGTGTTGGGAAGACAGTCGGACGCTTGAGTTAATGAATAAGGAGAAGCTGTGCAGGGGGAGACGAATCAATAAAACTGCAGCACAAGCTACTGCTGGGGCAGCTGCTGTTGATGCTGCTGCTGTTGCTGCTGCTGCTGCTGCTGTTACTGCTGCTGCTACTGCTTGTTGCTGCTGGTTCGTTTCAGCAGCATCAGAGCCTGGGGGCCCTTGGCGGTGGAGCCCAAGCTAAAGGAGCGGTGAATGAAGCGCTTGCTGAGTGTGTCTTCTATGAGGAAGGAGGGAAGAGTGACGGAGTTGGCGACAGCTGGATGCTCCTGCTGCTGCTGCTGCTGCTCTGCTGCTGCAGTGCTGCTGCTGCTATGCTGCTGCAGTGCTGCTGCTGCAGCTACCGCCTTCGATGTACAGGTGTGCTCGGGAAGGGGAGACGGCGCGCGGGGGGGAGAGGCACCTAACTGCATTAAATGAAAAAGAAAAAGCATTTATATTGCAAAATATAACTGAAGAAAAAACAAAGAAACAGCTCATTCATCATAAAAGAAAATACTTTTGTTTGTTGTGGGGGTCTTAACATCTGGCTGCTATGCTCGGCAACAGACGTCCTTCGTTCGGGTGTACGTACATACACCCCAGCTCCCCTCCTCTTACCTTCTGTGTTAATAATGCTTTTGTTTGATTATTTGCTTTAATTATAGTATTATATTTTAAATTAATTTATTATTCTCCATATTATTTCCCAATATATACCCCTTAACAGCTCCCCCCGAGCCGCGCCCCTGCATCGCCCGTGCGCGACAGGGGGACCGAAGCTTCTGACTTCCTTCGTTCTTCTGCTTTACAGTTCAAAGTATTTTAGTTTTTATTAAAGTCAAAAGCAGCAGAAACTGCCGGGTGCTTGCCCCAAGCACACAACTCCGAGGGAAGTAGTATAACCAAACCCTAAGTAGTTACAGGGGGGACATCGTATGCTACAAAGTAGAAAAAATACAACAGAATCCAGCTAAGCAGCTGATACACTGCGAGCCCCCAGCCACTCTGAGCGTTGCTGCAGCTATGCCTGAGTTGGTGCCGTGAAGAAGCTGCTTGTTCTCCTTTGGAGTACATCATTGTGTTACAACTCTTACAGCAAGACACCCGTACATACAACAGGGTTTAGGCCTCTTATTGCTGCATGCACTGACTCTATAGGAAGCTATTAAGTAATCTTCACTTAAATATAGGCATACTTGTCCACAAAGGGTGTAACGCTCTGCATTAAGTGTATGCACTTAATGTATCTGCTTAAAATGCATGCACATCAATTTGCATGCATCATAAAGACTAACGGCAACGTCAGTGTTATAAAATTGTCCACAGCTTAGTGCATGCATATAGTGAGGCTTTGCTGCACCTGCTTCTCCATCTGCTGTGCAGGAGGAGGTGCAGCAAAGTGTGCAGCATCTTCGTTTAAGAGTTAATATACCTCTACACTCGTTCTAATTACTTATAGATTAGAAGAAGGGGGTAAATGCTTCTTTTCGTGGACTCTTCTTTAAAGCAAGTTGACATTATTGCACCTCACAACAGCCCTGTGCATGCAGCAAAGACAAACAAATGATAATATGCTTATACCCTACCCTCAACACCATCCCCCGCCTGTTGCACACACGCTCTTGTAGGCGTGTATGCTGAGCAAAGGATGAGAGAGTTGAGGTGGCAGCT